TTGTATTAAGCTAACACGATGGTCGTTAAGAGAACCCATTGGTCGTTCTCTGGCATTTTTTTGTTGAATACTGGAAGTAAACATCAGTTTCCAGAAAAAAAGTGTTGTAAATCAGCCACATGACTGTGGGATGTTTCAGACAGCCATAAATACAGGCTGGTTCCTTCTCCCAAGGAGCTTCAGAGAGCAGAAGTTCAAATCTTGGGTCATAAGTCTCTTTTTCCATCAGAACTTCAAATGGTTGCTAAGTGACCAGATATAAGTTGAGGACTACCTGTCTTCAGTGATGGGATTCAATTTTTTTTACTACTGGTTCTGTGGGTGTGGCTTGGTGGGCGTGGCAGGGGGGGGGCACTGTAAAATCCCCATTCCCTCCCGATCAGCTGGGACTCAGGAGGCAGTGAATAGATGGGGGCGAGGCCAGCCAGAGGTATTTACCGGTTCTCCAAACTACTCAAAATTTCTGCTACTGGTTCTCCAGAACTGGTCAGAACCTGCTGAGTACCACCTCTGTACCTGTAGTCCTAAAGGTTTTTCAAATTATGAAGAGGGGAGTTGACTGAAAAGTATTTTTTTTCTCTCCTCTCCTTGTTAGAGGCTTGGTGGACGGCAGTTTTTGAACTTGGGGGTTATTGAAAGAAGTCAATTTGGCAGAAGAGGCAGAGTTGGACAGGAACAGGAAGGGCCACTTCATCCAGAGATGGTGTTAACGGATGGAGTTCACTTCCTCGGGATGCAGCATTTAAAAGAGAAAACAAATGAGGGAATTGGTGGCACATAGCCAGCAGTTTTGATAGAGGAACTGCCTCATCTCCCACCCCCATAGAGACAATCTGATTTTGGTTTTGTAGAGCAATTGAAACAGCCATTTCTCTGCATTTTGTGACCATGTAAGACAGCATGCTGGCTGGGGGATTCTGGGAGTTGAAGTCCAAACACCTTAACGTTGACAAGGTTGAGGCACACACTGAGGGAAGATATCTGAATGACCACTACAGCAAATATAATGCTATCAGGACATTTTTTTTTCTCTCTATTTGTTCTTATGTCTCTCTTGTGCCTCTCTTTATTACTTTATTTTTTTTAAAGTTGCACACTCTAGCAGAACTTTTCTCTAAACCAGCTACAATGCATGATTATTATATGGCTGTCATGGAGACAGAACAGTCTACCTCTAAATTTGAGATACTGGGGATAATATTGTATTAGCAAAGAATACTACACTTGTAAGCTGAGTTCATATAATACACTAAACCCCAATTAACAAAACACAATTGTGCCACAGCTGAGTAGCATATACTTTTCATGAGGGAAAACTCCAATGTTAAAATCAATAAATAAATTGTGGGAGGAAATAGCAGAAGTGTTTCTTAAAACACAATGATTAGAGGGGAGCCAAGATAGTCTAGCATTTCTCCACTCAATGCAACATGGAGATTTATATTGATTTANACATCTGGGCCATGCCTTATTTTATTACTATTTCCCCGCCACCCTCTCTCTCTGGCTGAAAATTACTTTTGCATTTCCAAATGGGTGAGAGATTGGGGATGGAGACCAAGGAAATAATATTTAAAAGCTCAAAAAATGTTGCATTGGTAGTTATGATGAAGGGGCATAATCATACTAATTGAATTGTAAAGGAATTCCTTGGGATTTAAGATGGATTCAACCAATCTCCGTGGTTGGGCAAGGCTGGTTGTGCTTAAAAAGTTATCATGTATTATTCTGTTACAATAAAACTGAATTATCCTGCATAATAAATACAATGTATGGGTGGCGAAAGAGGGTGTTTAAAAATGAGAGATCAAGAATTTTGCGGTGGAGTGGAGGAAAACCCCGTTCAAGAGATTCTGGGAATCCCTTCAAATTTGATGGGTCTCTTCCAGGGAAAGAGAAATCCACTGATGCCTCCTTGCAAATTTCTCTATCTGACATGTAAAACTGGAAGAGGTAAACCCCATGACTTCCAAGCCAAGGAAAGACTGTGTATCTCCAGACTTTCTGCTAAAGCTGCCATTATTGTTTTTGGCTCTGGACTCAACAGTCCGTTGTTGTATTTTGTGACTTGGAAACTAGTCCTCCTCCTGTTCTCCAGGCGTGTCACCTGATCATCTGCTCAACGGGCTTCTGAAAACTCACAGCTTACCAACCGACCCATCGTTTTGTCAATGGTCAGCTCAAAAGCCAAGAGATCCCCGCACGCTGTTTGCATAACATTTTTGGCACTTTGTGGAGACATCACTTGGGAGTCTTCTCTGTCATGGACAAGGGACAGACTTCAAAAGCTCTAGAACATCTCAAGCTGTTCTTTAGGCCATTGGGAAGGCCCTCAACATCAGCATCTCCAGCAACCAATCTCCATCAGCGATGTCTTCTTTCCTCCTCTGCTCAACAGTGATCTTCATCTGGGTTGTTTGACCCAAGACAGACAGCAGCAAACACTCCTTACCTGGATTTCTCTGAAGCTGAGAACATCTGTCAAGGGGACTGTAGGAGAATCAAGGAATGAAGAGGCTATCCGGTGCTGCTTCAGAGATTCTGGTGCTGGCGCAGTTAAACCCCTTCCCCACTTTTTCTCCCCCACAACCTAGTCTCTGTCTCATCTAATGTGTATGACATGGTGATGATAACCTTTGTGTGCCCAGTTCTCCACTGTTAATTCCTTTCATATTCTTTGGCTCGCAGAAGTGCACTTCCCCCTTTATCCCAAGCTTTCCAAACATCATGGCCAACTGTTTGAAGATCTACCTTAAACACACCCTGCCACACACACACTTGCACACTTCTCTGTTGTTTGTTTGTAATATACTGGAACAGAGCAAATAAAAAGTGTGAATCATCTGGAACGAAAATGTTCAGAAGTGTTTCTTTCCTTTAAAATAGTAATAATAATAATAATAATAGNCCGCGGTTTTGTGGTGGAACCGAAAATATTACAGCTTCCAAATGTTGAATCCGGTTCCACAACATCTCCAAGAACCCACACAAATATAAGCAGGTGGCCTTCACAAGTCTTTCTTGGACCTGATGGAAGTGCAGTGAAGAAACATGGTGGAGAAGACCCCCTGTGCATATAAGGGCATTTCCAATGAAATCTTGCAGGGTTTCCTTTTTCCATCCCAAAACATTAGAATCCTACAGATCAGCATTCAAGAACTTCAGGATTTTGGAGTATGTTCCCCATTCCCATCTTCCCAGCAGTGTTGAAGTTTGTGACAGACACGCTGGTCAAATGGACTCTGATATTATAGTTGCAATATTAGAGCTCCAAGTTGAGGGAAGCCATTTTGAGGACACTTCCTTATATTGATCAAAAGAACCTGGAAGAAGAGTTTTCCATAATGATATTGTTCAAACACTTTCTTCCATCTGTATTCATACAATGCATCCGTGTAAAGTTTCAGGGCGGGGAGCAGTCACTGGGTGAGCTGCCTTTGCACATTTCTGCTTGGCTTGACAATCATATTTTTCTGAAGGAAGTCATCCTGTTATCTTTCCCCTCCCATGTTTTGCTTCCTTACTTTCCTCTAGCTAGTAAAGCAGCAGGTGTATTGGAAGAAGCCATGCAGAGATGCCCTGCTACCTCTTTCACCAGAGACGTTGGGCTTAAACGTAAAGCTTTTGCCTGTCCAATGAGTTGTAAACCCCTCCTAATTCAAATTATTTGTCCATTGTGATCAGGGATATCCACAGCAGCCCTAAAATGAAGCAGCCAATTGAATCTGGAAGTTTTGACATTCAAAGCATAGGCTGTCCTGTTGAGGGATGGGTGTTCTTCAAATTAACTTTCTTTAAAAATGTCCTAAATTTGCAAAACTTG